GGCTTGAGATCGCGATGGATAACACCGTTGACGTGCAGGTAGAGGAGGGCGTCGACAACTTGACAGAAAACGAAACGTATTACGTTCTCGTTGTTGAAGTTGTCATTGTCAACAACATAGTCAAAAAGCTCGCCACCACCAACATACTCCATAACTATGTACACCGCAGTCTGGGTCTCGACAACATCATGCAAGGCTACGATGTTGCGATGTTTGAGACGGGAGAGTATCCCTATCTCCTTATGCAAGGCCTCTAGCTCTCGATCGAACTCCTCCGACAATCGAGCTCGTTGGACGAATAGGCACTTCACAGCAAACACCCTCCCATCCTTCTGTCGTTTGCACTTGAAGACCCGAGCCGTGGCACCAGCGCCAATCTCGCGTCCTATGAGGTACCGCTTGGGGTCGGCTAAGGGACCGAACTCAGGGGTGATGCCCGGAGGGAGGGAGGACGGATCGACGACCCCACTGCCGGTCGATCGTCTGCTGTCACTATCCGACATAATAACAACAACAACCACAAGAAGATAGAAAGCTGCACAGATGATTCCATCCCCCTGCGAAGAGGAACTCAGAACACTAGAGAGAACATAGAGAAACCATGAGTGAGCACCGACTGGAGACCGAAAGCATTCGAGTATGTCCCTATCTTACCACTACCACCACTACCATCGTTCAAGTTGATTATCCTACCCGTGCTCCTCTACGTCCCCCTCCACTGGTGCCTCATATGCATATCGGATACTCTCAGTCCAGGGCCGTTGATAGGGGGAGGGGGTACGCTGACTGCTACTGCCTGCAGGCTCATCGCAAGTCCTCCGCCTTGCTCTGTTGGTACGGCCCTGTGACAGGGCCCCTGTCGATCCGCAATACGAGCCGGAATGACTAGCACATCCCTCGGGTGCCTCTACCAATACCTCATCATCGACGAGCGAGGGCTCCCCGGCCAGCTGGGGCCCGTGCCAGAGAGCCATCACATATTATCGACTACGTTTTTGTCGAGACCTTCCGGAGGAAAGGTTAGGAAATGCCTTCACAGCATTGAACGCATCATAGGCTTACCCAGAATACAGAATTAACGACGATATCAGGGTCATGGTTTGAGGACTCTCAGAAGAGTGGCAACTGGCCGATAGCGGTGGTAGTTCATCCAGTAGTCCTCCCTCGAGCGAAGAAGTAGCGAAGGAGAGAAACTCAACCAAAACTGCATCTTCACCTGACACAGACCAGAACCCCCCGATATCTCCTTTTCGCTCATTCAAGTGTATCCTTGCTCTGTTGGTAATAACCGTCGTTTGTCACCTAAGAGGTAGGCGGTTCAACCCAATCACGTGGTACCCAACCCTACAATTTACAGCCGTTCCAGCAAAGCATATAAGCTGCTCCCTAGAGTGAGATACCGAGGCCCTCCTCACTGGACCTCTCTCAGGATTTTTCAGCAAGGACAGAGGAGGCTGTCACAACTGAGAGACAGTTCAAAGTCTTGCAATCTTGCTCCTTCTTGTAATTCCTCAACGTGTTCCGTCGTTGTTGCCTGTTATGCGGAATACAACGCCTTACCCTTCCCTCAGACCTCCTTACTAATGACACTGACGTTCACTTGAGGGAGTTCCCTCTCATTCGAGGTTGGCTCTCTCTAGTGTGTCATGGCATCAGGTCTACCGTCTTGGAATCAACGGTCAAAAATGTTTATTAGCTGTCGGATGGCCCTCCGCAACAGTCGTTGTTCCTCTGTCTTGGTCGACTGTATTAGATTGGATCTCCTTCGTAGGTTTCGGAGGGAATTTCGTGGCGCAGTGACGCGAATGGGTATCTCCAATTTGAATGACTTATGACCATGTGCTTTTAGCCTTCTTGTGTCTTATCGTAATGGACACATCCCAGCAGTCAGCCATGGCCGACAACGACTTCTACGTACGATACTACGTTGGTCATAAGGGTAATGCTCGAGGGAGGCTGGTGGCTTTGGAGGGCCTCATTTTCATCAGGGAAATTCGGTCACGAATTCCTAGAGTTTGAATTCCGCCCCGACGGACGTCTCCGTTACGCCAACAACTCCAATTACAAACAAGACTCGATGATTCGAAAAGAGGCTTATGTGAGCCAGGCGGTCCTTGCCGTGAGTCTCTCAAGGACTATATCGTCCTCTGAGGCTTCCTCTCTCAGGAGCTACGACGTATCGTTGATGACAGCAAGATAGCGAAGGAGGACGACAATCTCTGGCCAGTGCCCGATAAGGTACCACCTAAAGGCTCTCCTCTTCCGTAATATTCCCCCTCAGATTGGCCGTCAGGAGTTGGAGGTCATCCTCGGTGGCGGTCCTGGAAAGGAAGCTGTAATGTTCCTTATTGTCAATACGTGTAGTAACCCATGGCTAGATACACTTGTCCTTCACTACGAGTAAGATTGGATCGATGCACGATGTGGCCAACTCTAAGGATCCTGATGGACTGAAGACTTTCTACTATCTGGTTCAGGTAGTACTCCCCCCTTTGACGTTGTTGTTTGTTTTAGTCCCCCTTTTGCTCAGGACTTGAAATGCTTCGTGTTTTCTTTGATCGGCCTACACTTCAGAATCAAGCCTGTATAAGGGAGGGTGAACGTAGATGAGGGAGACGGTTGCAATCCAGAGGATGGTTAACCGCAGCAGAGATTGCAGATAGTCACATATTTTCCTCTGCTACTCGCCGGTGCACATTGTTGAGTTTAGGGGTAGGATTTGTGATGGTATTAGTAGTAATGACCGTATCTGCTGCAGCTGATACGAGGTCTCGTGGCACTATTCTGACCAGCTGGTAGCTCTTGCCGAGACACAGGGCTACTCACTGTCGCTGGTTGGGTCTCGGGGAGTCTATTCGGACTGTGCTCTTTCACTCCACCCCATCTGTATGCGACTACGTTATTGCGGCCTCAACTTGTTTGCCGCCTGTGATGTTACTGGCCTGCCTCGTCTCAGATGAGACATTGATTGTATGCTGATATCGGGCAGTGTTGGCTTTAGCAGTCTCCTTCTGAATACGGTTGCCCACAGTGAGCTCGGCTACAGGCTCAAAGGCCTCTCAACTGTCCTAGTACTACGCCTTCCTATTTGCCTAATGCGTTACGTGGCGGGGGCTATGACCATTGATTATCTCGAGGATGCTGATAAAGTGCCGATATATACACTCCTTCCTACATAGCTTGGCTTTTCGTAGTTGGGTATCTCATCTAGCCCATTTTTCTATCTTTTCTTTGATAGTCGGTTTTCTATTTCTTCTTTGAGTTGGTGTCAGCGAGCTTACTGTGGATGATAGAGTAGTTTCTCATTGGAGTGTCTCAGCTTCCCTCTCTTCACTCGAGGTGTAGTGTTAAACCGCGGATGAGTAGTCCTTATTATTGTCAAAGGCCTCAAGGGTCATCTGCGTTCATTCGGGGGTGGCTGGCAGGTCGAGAAGATTCCTAGGAAGTGAAATTGATGTCGTAGTAGATGTCTTGAGTTGTCCATATCATCGATGCAACTATGAGTATCAAAAGTTGATTATGGTTCAACACAATAGAGATCCTTATGGGAGAGTTAGTACCTCAGGTTGGTTAAAAAATACTTTTCGGCGTTTCATCTGTATGGGGTTCTTCGATATTTTCAAGTGCGGTAGTAAGAAGAACAAGAAAGCTTCTGAGACTGCTCCGAGTACCCCTACCCCTTTAACCGAGCCTCTAGTGTGTGGTACTTGCAGGTCAGAGGCAATATCGATGAAAGAATATTGACTACTTTCTTTTTATAGTTACGCCCAGTCGGTCCCTACCTCAGCCACAGTGTTTGTGTGTAGCAGCTGTCATGCTGTCAACAGAATAGACCGTTCTCAGCCTGGAGGCACTATGGTGCAAACAGCATCGCAGGTTAGTCTCGTCTTTCACAATCTTGGCATTGATATCTTGATTGGCTCAGGCACCTCCTACTGGCCCGGAGGTTCCCCTAGTGCGGTTGTCGTCAGCTAACTTCATACCGACCAACGAAGTTACTCAGCTGCCGCCCCCTAGTGATCCGAATGAGAAGCCGTGGGAGATCCCGTGTTGCAGTGTTTGTTTGGAAAACCCGGGCGATATGGTAGTAGTTCTGACGGTGTGTCTACCGTTGTTGTCTGAGTGGGATGTAAGCAGGTGATATTACCGTGCGGTCATGGTGGTATATGCGAGCCTTGCGCCATGCATATTGCCTGCAATGAAGCAGTCGGAGGTGCTCACTGTCCAAAGTGCAGAGGCCCTATAGAGAGGCTTCTTCGTATAACGAGGCTGCCCAATTCTGATGCCATCACTGCTGTTGAAGTAATACTGATAGTAGAAGTTTACTGTATTTGTTGTACATTGTGATCGTATCAGGTACCTTTGCCCAAGCCCAGCCAAAAGCGAAAATCGCCTCCGAAAGTACCACCACCACCTGGAGAGAAGAAGAGCAAGGGTCACCACGCTGAGGTTGTGGCTAATGCGGCCTGATCGGTGGTTGAATCAGTAGCATTACTATCGCTCGAACGACAATATGGTTACTGGCGGCCAATTTGGTGCGGACTTCGTGCGAAAGTTGCTTAGTGGGTTTTGTAATGGAAGAGGCGCCATAAGCAATAACCTGTTACTGTTATATCATAATCATCCTTATAGACATTTCTGATGAGTTAACAAAGGCACTCTCATCACCTTCGCTGATTATCATCATTCGGAAGAAGAGCGGTCATTCGTTGAAGTCAGTCATGTCGAGTCGGCAATCCTCTGTAACCATGCCGTACTTGAACCTGCTGCTACTGCTCGTTTTTGCTCATATTTTCACTGACGCTCCTACCCGGGCCAGGGTGCTTCTGAAGAAGATGAGGATCTTGTGATGTAGCAGTAGTATTTATACATAGTAACTCTTGATATCAATGAGGTCTTGCTTTAAAGTGATCACTAAGGCGAATTAATATTGGGAATAGCAGTTGTAGTCATGGTAAAGGCGATAGGGATCGTAGTAATGGTAGTATTGTTGCCGTAGTAGTACTCGTCGTATAGCAGTAGTGTGCTTGCGAGGTAGCATGCTTATAGCAGTCCGGTTTCCCAAGTTATCTTTATCCAGTCTTATCACAGTATGCCCGGCCCTGATGATGGCGGTCGAGTGAGTTATCTCGCAGTTGCACGTTTAAAGGATCAAGCCGTACGACTTCTCTTCTCCAAGTGTTCTCGCTTCCTCGAGCTGTGTTCTCTCAGACTCTTCTTTCCCACTTCAATCCTACTATATCTTCGAGAGAGCGTTCTGAGATCGAGAGTGCCTTCTTCGAAGAGATACACAAGGTTGCCATCCCTGGGTCTAGACGAGTGAGCCGGGATGGGTTCATTCCTCGACCTCCTCGAATACCGTGGGTTCATCATGCAAACGTCGGACACTACGCCTTTCACAAGCCTATTAGCGTAGCTCTTAGCGGGGTGAATTTTGTTAAGCGAGCGGCCGGGACGAATAGCGGGGTGAATTTTGTTAAGCGAGCGGCCATGTCGAAGAATTTGACAGTTTACCCCATGTTCTTGCGGAATTAATAGAACTAAGGCATATCTTGGGGTTGTGGCATAGCCGCCCCGGCCAAGGGAACGGATAGCCGCGCCGGCTAGAGGAATGGACTGTACCACGACATAGCTCGGGGTAGTGGCATAGCCGCCCCGGCCAGGGGAACGGACTGTACCAGGACATAGCTTGGCGTAGTGGCATAGCCGCCCCGGCCGGGGGAATTGACTGTACTAGCGCATAGCTTGGGGTAGTGGCATAGCCGCCCCGGCCAGAGGAATGGACTGTACCACGGCATAGCTTGGCGTAGTGGCATAGCCGCCCCGGCCGGGGGAATTGACTGTACCACGGCATAGCTTGGCGTAGTGGCATAGCCGCCCCGGCCGGGGGAATTGACTGTACTAGCGCATAGCTTGGGGTAGTGGCATAGCCGCCCCAACTAGAGATATTGATTGTACCAGGGCGTTGCTTGTCATATCTCCTCCCCCCCTATTATGGGATATGCGTGTCGACTTGGTATTGTTATTGTTGTAGGTTGCCAATACAGGGGAGGCTGCTTCGAGTAACCGCTTATACGTCCTTGCAGACAGCAATGCCTCCTGTGTCTATGTGGCTTCAGTTGATAAAGGGTAGTAGTGTTAGGGACCTCAGTTATTCGGCTCGGTCTGGATTTCGACGTGTCTTGCTGTTCACTGAGGTCTCTTTCGCGATCTCGAGCGCACTTTGATTTCGAGGTTGACATCGTTGACTCCTTCCTTATCGTCACGACCGGGTGTGCGGAGTTTCTTCGGCAACACCTGTGGTAGGCGATTCTGCAAGCATCGTGATTAGATATCCTGTGACCACAGCGTGGCAACTGTGCGAAGATCTGCGGAAGATTATAGAGTCCTCTGGAGTTCGTCTTGATGACGTTCCAGCGGAAGGCCTTAGCAGACCGAATAGGAAACGTATGAAGGAGATGATGATCAAGGTAGGCATATCTATGTAGCCCATGTCCACTGTGGGACTCACTGGTTTCGACCATTATTCCCGTTCGTCGAATTGGATTGTCGTTATCTCCAGTATGAGGATCCGGGTGCTCACAACAAGAGCAGTCGCGTTCGAGAGAAGGTAGAAGAAGTACAAGGCGTCATGCAGGATAATGTAAGACGCAGGCGTTCGTGATCCTGGGAGAAAATCGTTGTTCACCTACGACTGACTCCCGAGCTGTAATGTTTGGCGTCGTAGAGCACTGCTCTAGAAGCAAAGGATGCTTCTGGGACATATTATTCAGGTACGACGTATTGTGGAGAATCAAGAGAGTGCGGAGAACTTAGGGCGAAGAACGGAAGACATGACTAGGCAAGCTCATGTTTTTCTGAGGCAGTCGGCTGATCTCAGGAGACAGATGCAGATCCGAAACATCAAACTAAAGATTATTCTCGCAGTCATTGTAGCCTGCATTATCATCTACATCATCGTGCCTATCGTAAGGCGTTAATCTCGTCTCTACCATCAACAGATCATCACAATGTCACAATTTCTATCGCCATCGCTGAGCCTCATGACATCCCAGTGGGCTGCGCCTCATTGTTCTTCATGAGTATCATTCATTCGTATGTATGATGTATCAACTACACCGCGTAGTTAGGACCTCCTTTTTAAGAGTAGGTGTGGTCGTTGTTGAGTTGTCAATATCAAAGTGAGATGCACTAACCTATTTGGATCTGTTCCATGAATCACGGGTGACAAATCTGTACGAGAATTTCTTTTCCACTGCAGTGGAAACTGGCTGATGTGTATCGTGTATCCCCCCGTTCAGAGAAAGTTTAGGCATGCACGGGGCACGTTAAGCAAGCTGGTCACGTTTCGTTCGATGAGCAGTACTTTGACCATCAAACAAACAGTGTTTTTAAACTTGGTATTCAGCTCTCTGGCATTAGGATATTCTCTAGTAGAAATGCGAATTTTGGCATTGAAAATTAGCCTATTCGAACTATCTGAAATTCCTTCGACACGCTGACTGATTCTGCAGAATAGGATATCTCCTACAACCTATTCAATGCACTGAACGAACGTCCCGGTGGTCAGGAACTTGGTGTCGTCCCTCAGTGTCTTACCGAAGGCTTGGCGACGTCCAGTTGATTCGCCCTCAGGGTTTGTCTTGGTGGATTTTATGCAGTGTTGACAATATATGCAGTTCCATGATCCTATTAGAGATCTTTCCGTAGCTTGAATCAAGCTGCTTGATTCGCAGGGATCTCATGGACGAGTTTCTCTACGTACTGTTCTGTCCTGTACGTCTGTAGACTAAATTGATGAGTTTCCATCATGATCACTCTTACACATCCGTACGCAGCCCTTCCCGGTCGTTGATCTTGCCTGGTGGATCGTCGATGATGATGATAGCAAGTGAGTGCTTCGATGGTGTATACCATCGCGATTTCCCGACCTGTCATCTTCACTAGAGAGTTGAGGCTGACATGGAGAGAGCTGTCGATCGTGCTTCAGATTCATCTATTCACCACACACCGACAGAGCGGTCGCTGAATACCAAGCTCCAACGAGTCCTTGAAAAGAGTCGAACTCTCCTCGTGAGAGAAACACAAGTTGCTCTCAGTGAATACTTAGTCTTACAGGTGAGAGACCCAACCAACGATACCGTATACGAACACACCAGTCCGCGCCAATCGAGATCCCGCCGTAAGCTCGATGGAAATACCTCGGAAATGTCGCTGCACTCAGCTCGTGATGACGCCCGTGTTCAATTGAGCGTTGCAAGCAGCTCCGACAGCCGACTATCGTCTGCCGGTAGTGTCTCGTCTATTGGTGGTGGAAACGTCCATCATCCTGATCGAACGACTCTGCTGGAGAGGGCAGAGGAATCTTCGCGACTCATCAATGCTCCTGGGGCGGACTCGTGGGCTAATTACAATCGACAATTGAGGTCCCATGGCTTTGACGCGGTATGAGTATTCTGCTTGAGATCGATCAGCAACTGGAATGGTCAGGTGCCAGTAATTGCTGGCTCGTCTCGGCTAGGAGAGCCTACACTCGTTGACGGTCGGAAGCTGTTCGAAAACTGTATAAACGTGTTGCAAGAGTGAGCTTTTGCTCTGTCTGAATGTCTTATTGCGTTATTGATTGTGGCCAGGTATAGTGTTCGAAATCGTCAGCTTTTAGCAGCAACTCCGAGTGGTCGCCGAGACTCTCCGAGAGATTCGTCCAAACTAAAGGAAGTCACGCGAGCAAATTGGAAGTTACAACAAGAGATTGAAAAATTACGGCGGGAACTCGATGCTAGTTAGTGCGCGAGAGACCCGATAGAATGACGAAGTATTGTTATAGGCGTGGTGGAGCGCTCATCCAACTCGCTGACGAGTGAGGCACGTACACGGCAACTGGAGAGAGTGAGGTCACAGCAATCTGGGGAGATACGAAGACTCCATCACCAGTGCCAACGACAGGAGATTGAGCTCGAACGAATGCGGAATACGGTAAGTAGTGGCTACTGTAACGGAAATGCTTTGGTATCTTGAGACTGGCTCTAGATGCAGAAGATGGCTGATGAGGAAGAAATGAGGAGGAAAAAGGACAGAGAGTTTGCGGAGAAGGTGGGACTTTCAGGCTTGGCTCATTTCTGTCAAGTTTTCTTATCATTACTCGTTGTCATTCCCTGTAACAACTTCTGTTCTTGGTGAGTTCACCCGCCGGAAAGAGCAGGAGAATACTGTGGGGGCTGCCAATTCACTAGGCAACTCGAGTCCGTAGATAGTTTCCATTCAACACTCAATATCAGTATCTGCTATAAGCGTTAGAGTCTGCATTTCCGCTCCCGCCTTTTGTGGGTCTCTTTCACATGAGTTGGGTATCATCGGAAGTGGCGGAAACGTGCAAGTCAATGCCTTGGCACTCAGGCGGTGAAGTCCGTATGCCGTGGTGGTGGTGGAGTGAAGAACCAAGGGAGCCTCCATGTGCTCCAAGAGTTAGCTGCAGTGTGAGTCTTAAGTATTTTCATTAATGTGATTGTCGTGGAACTGGTCAGATATAGAAGACGCATAGAGAGGCTAGAGAAGGAAGTCATCGCGTCGGGCAAGCAGTCCCAGGACTTGGCCAGTCAACTCACCAGTGCGGAAGAGGAAATTCGACTCCTCCAGAGGCAACTTTCCCTCGCAACGGAGGCGCCTGAGGAGGATTCGGTGTGTGGGAGTGGTGAGGGAACGTTTGATGTAGCAGAGATGTCATGATCGATCTCAGATGAGAAGCGGAGTCAGCTACCTCCCAGTGTTGATGAAGATGTGGTATGCAAAAAGTTAGCCATGCATGTCGCGATTGGCTGGGTTGTAGGTGAGAGCGCTGGAGGAGTCCCTCCGTGCTGAGACGGCAGCACGGTTGGAGGCTGAGGCCCGCGAGAAGGAGCACGGGATTAGATATTCTGCTAAGGTGAGTTCTGGTGGGAACCTTGGAGTGTGCGCCTATCTTTGGGAAGCGTCAGGAACGTAGAGTGTGGGCTTTTGTCAGTCTGTAGCTTAGGGAGGGTTTGTATCAACGACTGACCCTTGCTTATGAATCAGAGCTACAATAGCAGCAAGATTTATGCTATCCATCTCGCAGATCCTATCCGATATACGAGCTCATTGAGTAGTACTAGTATTCTATTGTTGAACATCCTGTATTAGCATTAGTGTACAACACTAAAGTATCACTATTATAGTGTTTACCCTGCAGTAGTCACAAGAGCTTACAATTCTCCCAGAGTATATGAACAGTCAACTCGTTATTCACACTTGTTGGTATTTTGCAAGCTTAGATCGCCGCTCTGGAGCGAGAGGTAAACACTGCGAGGCATGAGCTTGCGGCTGCGGAGGCAACACTAGTTGACCGTCCTACGATGAGGGAAGTCCAGCTGTTGAAGAATAAGATTGAGCGACTTGAAAAAAGCAGAGAAGAGAGGGATAGATGGCGATGTGGTGATGTTCGAGAGATGATACGCCGAGACAAGTAAGGACTACACTGTACACAACACGACGACGCTCGAGCCCTTGTAGTGTACGCTCAGCGCTCATCTTCTTCTTAGCTGAGTTTTCGATGAATCACCAGTGTTCACTTTTCTCAGCTGAGCTCAGGAGGTTCCTCACTAATTATAGGAGTTATTATACGAACTGGGTTAGAAGTATACAGAAACCAGCAGGACTTCCTCAGAATATTCATATTGTCACCAACACATGTGGTTGACCATGTGCAACTTTGACCACGGTGTCGGTGCTGTGCCGCTGGATGGTCTTGTTTGTAGGGAGTCCCACAAGCTGGGGGCGGACATTGCCGTTGCTGAAATGGACAGCTCTATGATGCAACAAGTGTTGTTGGATTGTTGTCGACATTTGAAGATTAGCGAGCCTAGTATCCTGCCGGATGCACTCAAGAAGCTCGGCGAGGTGAGTCTGTGAGGGATTTTGATGGAGTTTGCACGACAACTGAAGGCGGGTGTAGGAGCATGAGGATGATTGATATTGAAATGCACATGGTCGAGTCGGCGTTGCGAGATGTGGTCTAGGTTCTGGACACAGCGCTGCCGCGAATGACCGAGTTCATCCGCTTTGTAACTTCTAAGGTTTGCGGCTCGGACTGGGTCAATGATGGTCAACACGAAGTAGGGCATGTCGATAACTCTGCGATCACTCTTTTGGTGACAAGGGCCCCTCTGTCTTCGCTCCATTGGAGACCGTTGAGGCTAGACTTAGAGCACTACTTGCAGTAGAACGAGAGCTCAGGAGTGTACGCAAACAGCTGGATGCTGCTGAGTCTGCCATAGATGGGGAAGCACCCATAGGGCTGCCTTTGGAAGCTCGCATTGCATCTGTTGTGGAAGAGCTGAATGATCGGCGAACTGTAAGCCATTCTGGCGTAGTTGGTATAAGTGGAAGTTCTCTGATAGACTGAGACGGCCTTTGGGGAGGCGACTGAGAGGATATACAGCACTGAGGAGCCGCGTTTGATCACAGACCGGATGGTCAAACATTATATGTGATTTGAGGGAGATGGTCGTTGCCGTTGTGAGGTGTTTTCAGGACGACATTTGAGGTGAATCAGCTGGAGCATGTGTGCGGCAGTATGAGCCGAGCGCGGCAACGTTGGTTGGAACTAGAAAACTTCTGGAAAGCTCTTTGTAGGTCACGAAGAGTACGACCAGCGTTAGCGTATGTACCCGCTTTCCTCAGCTGAGCTCAGGAACTTCCTCACTAATTATATCAACACAGGAATACGGGTTGAAGTGTGCAGAAACCGACGAAAATTTCTCGAAATTGCCTCGGAATTCTCATATTATCACCAACTTATGTGGTTAACCATGTGCATATTTTTCTATACTGCGTACGACAAGCCATCGAATCGTCCAGTTGTTGTTGGAATCAGGTTCGGACGTCTTGAGAGTTGATCCATCTGAAGTCTCTACTGCTAAGGCAATCCTCCTTGCACGGAAGAAACTTTCCCGAGAGTCTAGTGGATAGCACACGTTTGACCACGAATAAGCTTACTTGTGTTAGTACAGTGTCCAATCCCATACACATCCAATAACTGCTCGCGGCTCCGTTGCCAGGCAGCACACACCATCGTCATCGACTAAGCAGATGTGATATATCATACCCTGACCCCACTGTTCCGTTACAATCTGACAATGATGAGCCACTGTAGTCACCTCGGCTAAGAATGGTTTCGTGAAACTATTAGCAGTTGTTCATCATCGATATGCAGACGATGAGCCTACTGACAGGCGCTGAGAGTTACGCAACGTATTTTTCATGAGGGAATGGGTTGAAGTGTCAATGCATTTTTGTTAGCATCGCGGAACTCGGAAATCAATTTCCTCAGTGTGGTGCGCTACAGAACAACCCTGACCCTGAGTCCCTTATTAAGTTTATGTAACTGCTGTAGCACTCGTTGTTGAGCAGCTTAACCACTGGTTCGGAAAATCTCTTTGGGTTGGATCAGATGACGAATTTCTTACTATCTTTAGCCTCCTTACATTTCCTTAATAACAATTACTATACTATTGCTATACTCTGGATCGACATTACCTCATTATTATCATGGTCATAATATCCATCAATTTTATTATCTAGCCCGACTCGAGTATTGTATTATGAGTATTAGAGTAACTATTACCTCTCGAGTAAGTATTAGAGTTGCTGAAATCTTGGAGGCATGTGAGTGGTGTTTGAAAGCATAGAGAACTGATGGTTCCCACCGTGATTAGTGAGAGGACACCGCGGGAGTAACGAGCTTTACTTTGTGAATTACTTTACTACTCACAGCGGTCTCTCGGACGCCTGGTTGGTGGTGTAACTCGTTCGGGTTCACCTGAGACGCGGAAAGTCCGAAATCGCGCATGGGATCACTCAGGGTGCCACTCTCTGTGTTATTCAATCAATGGCTACCGCGTATGATCCTAGCGATTCGGACAATTTACCGGCGACATTAACAGCTGATGACATTCAAGAGCTCATCAAGAAGAACGAGCAGACCGAAGTACGATGGATGTGTTTCGATGTGTGGTTGTTGAGCTGAGCTCCAGGTGAAGAGTCTTGACGTGGAGGGTTGTGCTGCTCTGGTGCGGAAAGTGGCATCATTGGTGAAGGAGAATCAGAGGCTTCGTATTAAGCACTCCGATGACCCGACCAAATTTTTGGAGGTAGTTGCTGTTTATGACGATAGCTTGGACGTGCTGCATTTTTGTTATGCAGAGTGAAGTCTCACTCGCTGAGGAGATACGCCGTTTGACCGAGTTAGCGGTTAACCCAGCCGAGCTGTGAGTGGCGTCGATGGTGTTAGTCCTGGGATGACGATTTGTTAGGTACCCTGCCTTTGTAGCTGGGCATGGGGGGAGAGTGCTCGTTGGCCTCCTCCAGCACGCCAATGTTGATATCTGTGCGGAAGCTCTTGCGGTAGTAGGGCGGCAGCCGAGGAGGCTGATGCCTATATGAGGTCAGGTCCTTAGCGATCTCACGGAGCCTGAGGTTATGGCCGATTGTGAAGATAAAGTGGCTGGGGATTTCGTAAGGGGAAAAAGAGGTCGTAAACACATGCCCGCATGCCAGGTTGAATCGCTAGTAACTGATGCCAAGTTGGGTAGTATATACATCGAAACGTTGTGGCGGATCTATAGGGAACAGGGAGAGGAAGCAGAGAGTAGTGAGGATATCTCGGGGGTAGTGGAGTTGCTGTGGCGTGGCTGATGGTGGCATGTTGGTGATATCAGCAGGAGAATGATGAAGCTGGGAAAATGGAGGATGCTCAGCAGGCTACTACAAATTGTCTTCAGACTATTGAAAATCTATTTGAAATATGGTACTAGGGTTGCTGTGGAGTTGCTGAAGGATGAGATTTGAATTAGCGCTTGAGATTCAGAATTAAAATAGCGTGACTCGGTCGAACGTCCCTCATGTGAAGTTCCGACGTACTCGAGTGTTTGATGACTGGCGTTGCATTTGCTTGTGTGGTCAGGCCAGCTAAAACGGTACCTGAGTTTGCAACGGGAAGGTTCGTCGAATGGCTTGTCACTGTCATCAAAGAAGCAGTGAGGGAGAAGAACTTCACGTAGGCGTCATCAGTCGTGTTTCCTCCGACTTTTTCGTCCATAGGTATAACGCGCTTTTTGCCTCTGAACTCCTGTCACTATTACTGCAACAGTGCCCTAATCCTATTCAAACCAGTAGGCGTGTTCTTCCCTGCTTGGTATCGTTTACTGTCCTGTGTGGTTTCAGTTCCACAGATAGTAGATCGTCGTAGCTTGGATCGACTACTTCGTGTTACTAACATGTATCGTCACAA